GGCCCCTTTAAGGGCCAGGCACATTCCCAGAAACGGGCAAGCTGCCAGCGCTGGCAGCGAAGCTGCAGTGATGCAGGCTCCGGGTGATCGCTCAGGCGAAGCGGTGGTGGTGATGTCAAAGGCGAGCACAACCAGATTTAGCACCGGGAGGGATTCCTCCCAACACGCAGCAGGACAGGCAGCGGAGACCGAGACGACCCCTAAGAAGACTTCAGGCACGTCTTCCGGTCTTCGGCTTTTCCGCTTTTTCTTTTTCCTTCCAGCTGCAGGTAGTGAAGTCTGGGGCACCTCAGGCAGCTCTGACAGCGGACCGTACAGTAATCGGCTGTCCATGGCCACCTACCGTATCATAGACTCTGCCGCACCCCTTCTCAGCTGCCGCATATTTTCCTTGAACGGGGACAGGCATTCCAGGATATATAGTCGCCAGGGCGAAAGCCGCGGGGACCTCCAGGACCTCGGTCCATTGTAGTCAATATACTACCTCACTCGTGAGGTCCGTATATTCCGCCTTGCTGATGAGAGGCGTCTTTTTGTTGAGTCCGGTCATTCTGTTGTGCACTAACCCAGAGTGCAGACAGAAGCGCAGGATGCCAGGATTCAGGGAAAACACGGGGTTTAATAGACGGCAAGGCAGGCAAACACAGGTTGACAATACAATGACCGGACTGGGGAAACAAACGGAAACACAGACTAAAAACATTGGACTAATGACAATTGGAAACAGCTGGTAAACACGGGGAATCCACACAGGGTTAATGAGGGGGAGTGGCACACGGAAGGAGTGGATGATCGGGGCATGACAGACAGATTCTTGCTTTTCAAAATGTTACTTTTCTGGATTTCTTTGCAGCAAAGCCCTTGATCAAATCACTAAAATGTCAAAATTGGGCACTCTGGTGTAGCTGCTAAACACGTCTCAGTTTCACACTGGGGCATGGATGATGCTATAATATTAGTGTTATAACTATCAGTAATGCTGTCAAATTTCTCTCAAAATACAAAAAAACACTTTCCAACAGCATGTTCACTGTGTAGTTTAATCAACTACAGCTATGTTATCATTTGAAAATGAAAGCGATTTCCATCTACACAGGTGTTTCCACATTGTTTACAAAAGTATTTCAGTATACACTGAAACAAGCGAAAATGTATATGACATGGCTGTTAGCCTACATTGGACATGCCCGTTTCTTTTTGCACAAATGTGCAGTAGTCACACTGTACAACATACTATTTAGCTTTATACAGGTCATATCAGCTCTTCTGTATCCCCCATGTTGGAATACTGTTTACTTCTGTGTAGGGTGACCAGATGACCCATCAGACAAAGAGAAGTGATACCAATACCAAGAATGCAAAGATCATACTTGTTGAATTGGCATGAGCGTTCTTGCTAACTTGCCTCCCAAGAATGAACTTGGGGTGCAGTGAATCATGGGACTGGTCTTGTTTGGTGAGAATGCAACCCATGTGTCCTTGATATGTGGGGCTCGGCTTGGAGCTGGTCTTCAAGAAACGTGAAACAGATATGCAAGAATAAAAGTATGGTAAAGTATGCATTCTGACAAACATCCAAGGCGTAACTAGTAGGATCAAATCAGGGAAGGGCTATGTGATGTGTAGGGATCGATTAGGGCACTTTTAAAGTCTGTGTTTTCATAAGTCTCTGTTTCACTCGTCCACATTGCAATGATAAAATGGAGGTTTCAGGCTATGAGAGCATTTACAAAGGTCTCTATTTCTGTGGAAAGGAATTGCGGGGTACTTTGAATGAAAGGTGAAATCAGTGTCCACCAGGATAATATCTATGTGCACTGGAGTGTAGCAGTGTGGATGTAGCTTAAGGTGCTTGCAGTACAGCAAAAAGTAAAATATTTACATACCAAAACAAATGCCCATTAACATTATTTTGAGGCTATTGCCTCGGTAAGCTCCTACTAAAGACGGGACATGATTTCAAGGATAGACCGTAATGTATTTTATTTTCTAAATGTGTCAAATGTTCTTTGTTCACAGCTATTGGATGACCAACCACAACTGTAACCAGTCAAGTAAATTCATTGTCATTCATTTCTCTCTCTTTATATGATATCACTTGCTGTATAAATTGACTTAATTTTTACTTGTATTACTCCAGTATTTAAATGTGTGATCTTATGAATTTGATATACTGTACATATTTAGTCCTGCACACTCACACACAGGGACTGACTGACCCACTCAGGTTTGTAATTATATCTTTGTGGGGAATCTCCAATCACTTCCATGGGGAAAACTCAAATCCCAATATGACAACCTTAACCCCTACCCAGCCCTAACCTTAACCATAAATATATAATCAAACAAAATACAAGACATTTGACATTTTTACTTTTTTGAGTGGATTCACAGATCTTTGTGGGGACCTGAAAAATGGTCCCAGCAACATCAAATAACATGTTTTCATCACATTGTGGGGGACATTTGGTGCCCACAATGTAATATAAACCTAATCCTACTGTATCCTCTGCCCCCGTTTCATGAGGTGGCCTCCTGGGATGCTTCTCCAGCTGTCCTGATTACTCATTCACTAATTTTCCTTGGTCAAACTCTTCCAAAATCACTTCTACTGTGTTTAGATCAGGTGGCCAGGTCATGTGATTATTTCTTTCCTTTGTGGACAGTTTGGTGTGTCCAGCCTGCATTTATACTATATATACTGTTTTATACTCTTCATATGTTTCTTATCCAACCCGAATTCCGGAAAAGTTGGGATGTTCTTTAAATTTGAATAAAATGAAAACTAAAAGACTTTCAAATCACATGAGCCATTTTTTTTTGAGCCAAACTTTTTTTCCAGAGTTGTTGAAAATTATGCTTGGGCCTTCCTCAGTTGAGTGTTCTCTCAGTGGACAAGGTTATTATAATGACATACAGTCATTATACCAAGACCAATAATTCAAAAAGAATACACAATAAAAATGAAAGCATTGCCACAAAATAACAACAACAACAACAATAATAATAATAATAACAAACAAAAAATGTTATCAGCCCAATAAAATAAGTAAAAAGAAAATACTTTGTGGTGGGTCATGCTCTTAATAATCCAGAGGAATCAGCTCTTTATGAAACGGAATGGAAGTTCTGTTTTTATTAAGTGTGCACTGGCAGAGAAAAGCAGCAGTTGCACAGACAAGGGAAGCCCACAATTTACATAACATGCACACTTCGGGTAGATGCCATCGAAAAGACATGCAGTCCACGGGAGATGCTATACAGGAATTACATGGGAGTAACACTTTACAATGTAAAAGCGCGGTTACACATATTTAATAACACAATGAACATGAGTGGTGTAGCGGAAGGCTTGAAGGAAATCTGAATGATCAGAGGTGCAGATTGGTCTTGCGGTATCACAGTATTCTTCTACGTCACTCTTAAAAGATCTTTTAGAAACCCCTGTCTGCCGCCTGTACAGGTAGAATAGTGTAATGCAGTTATTGTATATACAGGAATTGTTTGTACTTATGTGCAGACTTCCAGTGCCTGGAACAAGTCACCACAGAATTTACTAGTGTAGTGTTGTACTATTTGAGTAATCAATTCCTCATGAAACTTAAAATTAAGGTAATTATGTGAGCTGGTGTAAAATTGAGAAATGCATGGAATGGTTATAAGGTGGCCCTGAGGAGAGGGTTGGACCCTGAAACAATGATCACCTAGTTATCCAACTAGATATCAGTGACTTTTCAATAACTGGAAAGTAATAGTTCATAAGTTTCAATTGTATTACTCTTTATTAATACATATTGTAGTATCAAATGGGTTCATTTCTACTGCCCAGTTAAAAAGTCTTAAACATAAAGTAGTCACATTCTCTCTCTCTCTATATATATATATATATACACATATGTGTGTGTGTGTGTGTGTGTGTTTGTGTATTAAGTAAAACAATCAAGCAAACAGAACTGTAAGATTATTTTTCCCCCTGCCTTCTGCTTGTTTTATTTATTTATAACCAAATATAAGCGGAAAATGCTCACTGGTTTTTAATAACCCCCTGTTACTGCAGTAGGCTTTTAAAAAAAAAATCGGCATTCCAGAATTAAAAAAAAAACATTTCACTTCAAATAATATCACTTCAATTTCAAAAGTATATACAGTACTGGACAAAAGTCTTAGGCATTCAAAGAAATGGCTTAAAGCTGTTAATGGAGCTTTGTTTCCCAAACCTCTCCTCAGGGGCATGCCAATCATTCCATGTTTTTATTAAATTTCACTACCAGCTCACATAATTAATTTCTCAGTTAATTAATAAATGTTAATAAATGACTCAGTGAGGTATTGCATTAACCAAACATAGTATGCTAGTGGTCAAGTCAAAAATTATATTGGTGTATGGTGTCGTTGCAGGGGTTTGACACCACACAGGAGAGGGTTTGAAATGGTAAGACTTATGGTAAGACTATATATATAGGTTAAGTGTGTGTGTGTGTCTATATATATATATTCAGTATATGATAATAATATAAATAATTTAAGTAGAACTTAAACAATATACATCATTTAAGTAAAGTTTTCTTTGACTGCCTAAGACTTTTGCACAGTATTGTCTGACCGGTCGATCGTGATTTTATGGTCAATTGCAGTGTGTTTCCATGCGGATCACACAATTATTAAAGGATACTTCTTTATGTCAGTGGTGGCCAACTGAAGGGGGACCCCCCCACCTGATCTGCAGATTATACCGTGAGGTGGACCCCTCTCATTCGACAAAATATACTGTGGGGTGGACCCCCCTAAAGGCCTATCTTTGTGATTTGGTCATTTGCTGTAGTATTTTCTTTGTAAGAATAGGTCTTACTGTAAAAAAAGGTTGGGCACCACCGGTATAACAAATCCTGTATATTATTCAAACATAACCCAAAATGATGGCTTTGATAAATATATTGAGTACTGAAATACAAAAAAACCTGCAGTTCCAAAGCCCTATATAACATGACTGGCCACCCCTCTCCTTTCTGAAATATTTATTTATAGGAAACATTCCATAATACTGTTCATAGTCATAAAAGAGAATCCCCATAACTTTGAAAGCATTAAAGGCACTTGGAAAGATCTTTGAAAAAAAAATCTTATTTGACTTCAGACTCATCATGCAGGAAACATTGAGACATTCTGTATTTATGCATGACATACAGTAGATACATATTTTAAAAGCGTATTCATTTTTTGAAAGAAATAGCTATAGGAAAGATGGCAAAAGTGAAATATATTGCCTTAGGGGTCAGCTTTGGCCGAAATGTGAAAGTGGTCAAACAATATATGCTTCTAATGACACTGCTTTAAGGAATAAACTTCTTGTTTTCTTAAATTTTCAGTGCTACTACAGTTGCATGGAAATATCAGTGAAAAATGAGTTTGTTTTTTTCTTCTTATGAAGGAAGAAAACCACATCCTGTCTTTTTCTGATGTGGCCCATCCTTCAGCAGCTTTTCTTAGCCTCTTCAAAGATGATGCTTGATGCCCAGGACACCAGATTATTGCACTTCAAATTCAATATGTTGAGACTTTGACTGCATCTTGCACGTTGAACGTCTAAACCACAAATCAAAGCAGATCTTCATCATGATTTGCGATTTGTAAGTGTTAACACGGTACTCCAGGTGTCCTGGGTCTGCTCTGGAGCCTTCAATGGCAGCTGAGACTCCTTTTCCCATTTCTGCTCTACCTCAACTAGAGGAAAGGAGAAATGACGTGAACACAGGGATTAAACTCCTTTCATAGCTACTGCATATCAGGTAAAGGATGTGGAGACTATAAACTGTCAGAATGGTACTTTATGGACTGCAGTGTTACAGTTATGCGCATAAACCTCCCTGGAGAGTGTTTGATTGCTGATTATTTGCATATATTTGTTGCATAAGATCTTCTGCTTCCTCAGCTCTGCATCTGACAGCTATACCACGTGCATATGAATATATCTGTTATTCATTTTCATTCCAGATAAAACTGTTTACTTAATAAAGCTTAATTTAGAAAAAAAATATGTGTTAAAACTTGATAGAATATGACAATGAATTTCAAGTAATGCTTCAAATCTGCAAATAATAAAAAAATAACTATGTTGGACTCAGTGTGCTGAGATCAAATATTAACTGTCTCCAAACCATCACAATATAAGATACAGCAGAATAAATGTTTGTATGAATGATTTGTTTGCCATAAATGAAGCATGTTGTAAAAGGATTTAATAATTAAATTACAGATTGCATCATTTGTATTTAACTAAATTTTTACTTTAGTTTACTTTAGTTTACATCTACCTCTCTAAAAGTGTGACTTGTTAGCACAATGCTATTCTTATTGAGCTACAGTTATGTGTAAGAAATTGTGTAAGGTTTTAATAAATTAGAAAACGTTTTTTCCTGAATAAATTTTTGAACTTGTGGTTAGAGAAAGTTGTTAATATATTCTGATCAGCTGTTAATCCATTAAAAGATCCATTAGCATTAATTATTAATAAGCATCACTGTAATAACACAAGTGAACACAATGAGCTCAACAGGACAAAAGTGATTACCCCCTGTGTATGGATGATGCAGTGTTATACAGTGTTATAGCTCAGGGTTCAATTCTCATTTTCAAGATCTTTTGTTATTTCTGTAACTTGCTGTTTCACATTTAAAACAGCTTTAGTTCTAAGTTTTAGTTTTTTTTTTACTCAATCAAATATATCCATATTAAAAAGAAATAAATCACATCAGTGACATGATTCTTCTCACATTTTCCAGTTCTCACTTGTTCCTGCCAACTTTCTTGGGTTTATCATCCACCTTCACTTGGCCTCTCCCAGCTCCTCCTTCAGCCTCCACTGTTGGCCTTCTGGCTGCTGAATCTGCAGCCAGTGCCTCTCTACCATCTTCATCCTGGCGCGGCATATCTGTCGGCCCTGCAAGTAGGATCATACAGCCACCATGAAGTCCCATTTCTGCATGAATGACTCCCTCAATCATAGCTGCAAAAGGAATTAAACAAGCTGTTTTGTACTAAAGACAATCATTGACATCAAAGACTACCAACTTGCATAGTAGTCCATTGTCTGTATTTATTAAGGAAAAATAGAAAATTTGAATGCTTTCTTTTCCTAGGACAGACACGTTGAAGGTAGACTATAGTTTCCCTTATCATCTTTAGTCCTCCAAAGTCAAAGTGTTATAGTTTCCTGCATAAATCCCAAGTTCCTAATTAGGAAGTTAATTCACAAATACAGGTAATAAAAATCTATCACAGTGATTTTAATTACTGCTCTATTTGGAGGCAAGCTGTGCGTGAAAATTAATCTTTAGCATCAAACCAATCATTAGCAACCTATTTTTTGGGTGCATCACATGCATCTTTTATGTTATTAAGTTATAAACCAACTATAGAAATAATATACTGAAATAAATGGTAGATAAATGGTCAAACCAAAACAATGAAAACACAACAGCTAATAACGGTACAGTTGGACAAACGTACTGTAGCTGAGCAGGGGAGTGGTGCCAGAATCTGGCGCCCCTTGGTGCAGCCTCTCCAGCATATCATCGATCTCGTACACCTTGATCTCAAAGGGCGTCTTCAGAGGCAAAGTGTGATCTGACCTCTGGCTAGTGAATTTTCTGCCCAGGGACAAAATGTTGGGCATGGGAGCTGGAATTAGTCGCCGCCTCTGGCTGCCTGGAACAGAGGTACATCGGAGCAGATTATGATTATGTCATGTAGACCAATAACCAATGAGAAATGCAGTAGTATTATCCAACTTTAAATACAGATACAATAACAGGTTATCCAGAGTGATACTTTTATTGCAGACACAGGAGCAGTAAGTATTATTCAATGATATATTACAACAGGACAGTACAGTTTAGTGCAACTGGAGTGCTATAACAGTCATATAACTTATGCAGCACTGTCTGCACATTAATGCTATCTGTGTCTGCTCCAGATCTATAAAGGATATACAGACACTCCTCTACTTATGAACTTTCAGACATATGAACGAAGAGGACTGTAAGCCCAAATTGTGTTTGTTGGGCTCCCGCTTCCTGTCCGCAACATCATTTCTTTTTTCTGCGCGCCAATTTTTTAAATAATAAAAATCATTTATTGACCCCTGTGGGGAAACTGTCTTTACACCTCTGTCAACTTGCTCTTTCTAGAGTAAGGGTAGCCACCTGTTGGGGCACCCAGGGAGCTGGGTGTTGAGGGCTTTGCTCAAGGACCTGCAAATGTACTGAGGCTGGGCTTGAACTTACAACCATGTGATTACAGGCACATAAGCTTAGCCCACTGAGACATATGCAGCCCCCAATTCCACCTAGTATGACTTCTGGCTGCTACTCCCACCATGCAGCAGTGTAGCGTGCATACTCCCAGCATCCTACTTCTTTGTACTTGCGTATACCCTTAAAATGATGTTGAATAGTGACTTATGAACATTTCAAGTTACAAACGGCAGAACGGAACGTAACTCGTTCGTAAGTAGAAGAGCATCTGTATATCCAAATTAAAGGAAACATGTCATAAACTTTATTCCAACCTAAAATATTAGTCTGTGTATGTATAACTCTGCTTTTAAAGGACACATCCTACATGAAGCATTGTTGGGACCTATGAGTTAAAAATGAAGTTTGCTGGCAAGTGTCAATGCAGTAAAAATAAACAGTGAATTCAGTCAAAAGAGCAACTTGCTGAATGTATATAGGTCTGCCTTGAGCTAGGAAATGATCCTGCCCACCTAAAGAGGGAAGTATTGTTGATTTGTTTGTTTGGCATCAGTCTTGCATACCCGGTAGAACTATTTATTTAGTCAGTTACAAACAAGTCCTACTTTAAACCAGCTTGTGTTGTGGCAAGTCTCAAGGTCAAAACTATAATACACATGCTTTGAACAAAGAAAAGTTGGTTCAGTGGGTAGCACTATTGCCTGACACAATCTGTGTGTGTGTGTGCTTGCAGTTTTACTTTGTTGTACTTCTTCTGTTCATCCTAGATTCTTCCCTCAGTGCAAACCCATCGTAGAGGTGAATCGGCATTGAAATATTGCTATAATATGCATGATGTACACATGCCTTATGCCCCATGCTCCCCTATCCCCCCCTCCGCCCCACACACACACACACACACACTGGATATGTGTGCACAATCATTTCCTTTTCTAGATTTGTGGTTATGTACGTGAAAACTGAAACAAAGAAATTCTAATTTGCCAGCTATCTGTCTTATACCCGTAATTACAGGCAGTCCCTGGGTTATGAACATCCAATTTACGGGCAACTTGTACATATGAACAGATGGCCATGAAGTCTATTATATTAAAAATTTGACTAAAATGCAATTGTTTGTAACAACAAACACATGTACAACTTTGTGATGCTTGTAAGAACAGTACATGGCCTCAGCGATTCATTGGCTCAACATACAGTACAGCACTGAGTTACTTTTTCAGCATAATAATAATAATAATAAAATTATTATTATTATTAATAATAATAATATAATTATTAATGATGTTCACTGTTCCCAGTTCCTATTTCAGTTCTAATAAATTATATCATATCATTTTCAGAAAGGGACAGTAATTCAAAAATGAAGAGCATTTGTTCCATAATATTTGCATATGCAATGCTAAGTTCTTAACCTTATGAATCAAACTCTGCATACATATATTCCAGTAGGATGTGTACTGAAGAAAACAGGGATTGTGTCATAAAATTAGTTTGATAATTAGGGCATCTACACCTGAATAAATGAAATGAATATTCAGAAAATTAAATTGTGATAATGAAACGTGCATCTGTGATGTTTCGTGGTGGTGCAGTGGCTAGCAGTATTGCCTTAGACCTCTGGGACCAGGGTTTGAGTCTCTGCCATGGTTCCATGTGTGTGGAGTTTGCTTGCTCTCCCCATGTCATTGTGGGGTTTCCTCTGGGTACTCCAGTTTCCCCCCCACAGTCCAAAAACAGACCGAGATTAATTGGAGTTAGCAAATCACCCATGTGATTGCATGGTGTGCGAGAGTGTGATGGGTTGGCAGCCAATTCTGGGTTGTTCCCTGCCTTGTGCCCATAGCCTCCAACACAGGATGCAGACCCCCCTGTAACCCTGAATAGGACAAGTGGGTTCATAAATTGCATGGAATCTCCCAGCCATACCCTCACCAATCTGACCAGTGGTGCATTTGCTGTACAGTGATGGAAGTTAGCATTAATGATGCATCATACTATGTTAGTTCAAACTAACATCCGAAGTACGACTGTTTCCCAAAACCATTGTACTTTGATAGTACCACAATAGTTTGAACCACCATAGTTCTAACTACCATGGTTCCAGAGGTGGTTGGTCGGAGGAAAAAAGAACTATTAGCTGTTAGGCTACAATGCATTTAGTGACATGGGCTCTATTTGTAGTTACGTTTATTACTTAGTACTTAAAGTACTTAGTACTTAAAAATTCCTGATCCATTGCTGTTCATACAGCCTATTAATGGCTCAGTGGGATTGATGGGTGGTTATCATGGTATACCAGATTTCTCACCTACCTAACCATGGTTCATATCCAAGCACCAGTGTGTTTTTATAATCGTTTTTCATATTACAATGAAAGCTCTCAGTGATTAAAAAGTGATTCATTATTTTTAGCCATTAATTTGCCAGTGTTTTATTTTCTTTCCCTATGGTTTTTCTGATTTAATACTGTGCATACATAAGCACTGAATGATAAATTGTTTCAGCATCATCATGATGTGCACTTGCATAATAATCATATTGCGTGTTTCAGAACGGCTTTATGACTGCTGACACAACTCGCGACAACACCGCCAACTTACTAGACACTCTGTTAGATATGTTCTAGTTTATTTTGGGTAATTTCATCTTGTTTTTGGTTTTATAATTTATATTGCAATATTTCTCGATGTGATATTGCAGGATGTTAATCGTTCAGCTCTAAATATATATTAATCTATGTAATGAATTCTACCACACAGCACAAACAAGGTGGGGAAACAACATCCTCTCCAATCATACCATATGCACGAAGAGAGAAGTACATAAAAAGTACTCTTACAACTACATTTTCAAAGCACTTGATATTATAGATATTTGTACAGCAAGATTATTTAATGTTTTCACTTTACTTACATGTTGACAACCCTCCTTTGACTGCATTTTCAATGATGTAGTCACCCAGAACTAAGCTTCTAACTACAGCTAGAGATCAACTTAACAGTGTTTGTGAATGTTCGTTCGAACTATGGTTTTGAGAAACACTTGAGTTGTTTAACAATGGATCGCACTATGTAAGTTCGCAACCTCGTTACCTCCATAGTTTGAACTATGGTTCGGAAAACTCCTGCATCATGCTTGCTTACTTCCGAATACGCAAGTTGTTAATGTACAATACAGGCCAGAAGTTTGGGCCCACCAGAAAAATTCAAAAATATAAATGGTACACTGCTTTTTCAAACTTTTCCTACAAGAAAATATTAGAAATACTTCAAATAAATGTAACTGACTGGTTTTGAAGTGTAATGTAACAATATACTGTGCATTGTAAGTGCAATTTAATGAATTTTTGAGAATGTTATCCTCAAAATAACCACCCATTGCCTTTAACACAGCACCACAGATTCACAGCATCCTTTCCAGCAATTTTTGGAAATAACTTGTGTTCTCAGCACCTTTTCAAGCATACAAACAATTCTGTCTCATTTGCTAGACGCTCATTTTAAACTTGTTGGTCCAACTCGTCCCATGGAAACTGTTGCTTCCTGTCAATCTTTTTCTCTGTAAACAGTAGCTCACTCCATGCTTAGAAATATTTAACTTTCTGGCTATTTGGCAATGAGATAACCCTTCTACACTCAAAATTTCAATTCGAGTCAGTTGTTAGCTGTGCATTTCTAGCCATTACAAGCATAAAAATAAATATTTATTAAAAAATCTGAGATCAGTTGTAATACATTACATCAGAAGATTGAGGAGCATATCTGGGACAAGGCAAACGGGTGGCTATCGTTTAGTTTATATAAGATACAATCAAGAGAGGCCAAGAGCAAATCAAGCTCTGACATTAGAAAATAGAATTTCAACACAAAGTGAATGTCAATGTACTAAAAATAGACCTGATATGTCTTCTTCAAAACCAGTAATTTCAGCCTTTGTGGCTAAATTACAAGCTATAAAATACTGAAAACCAGTCAGTTACATTTTTTTTAAGTATTTGTAATAATTTATAATTTATTTGTACTAAAAGTTTGACAAAACAATGCATCGTTTATTATAATTTTTTTTAATCTGAGAGTGGGCCCAAACTTCTGGCCTGTAGTGTAGTTAGCAACTACGCTTTTAGGAAACGCACCTCAGATTGGAAGCGAATGAATCACTATGAATCTGCTTTAAATACCCATATTGCCCTGCAAGAATAAACGAGTGACACTGAATGGTGGCAATGATTGTGCTTGGCAGAGCTCACCATTTGCTCTCTTTTTAGAAAGCTTAGAACTTTTGGTGTGGCTTGGTGACGATTCCCCACTCTCACTCATGGAACTGTGGGTAGAGGAGGTGCTGCCCATGGCCTCGCTGTCCCGCATCATGCTTTCATAGCCGCTGCTGCCTGCACTGCCCCTGCTGTCCCTGCTGTGGTAGAAGAGAGTGGTGCGACCCATGGCTGGGGGCAGCTCCCCACTAAGTACACTGCTGTTGTCGCTGCAGTGACTGCTGCTGTAGCGCTGCGGTTGCCGTGGAGCCGTGATCTTGCTGTACGGGGATGGTGGTATAGAATTAACGGACTTGCTGTCGCTGAGGTTTGGAACACTTCTATTGCCATCCCTGGAGCTCCAGAATTGTTTTCTAGGGCTTCCAAATACCAGCTCACTGACACGAGTGTTAGCCGCCCGAACAGCCTGTTTGGCACCTGTTGCAGTAGCTCTTTCTTTCAGGCTATTGAAAGCCATTCCAGATGGAGGCACTGGTGTCTCATTGATGAGGAGTTTACCATTCTGGTTACTTGGACACACTAAGGATTTGACAGAAGAGCTCAGGGGCTTGAAACTACTAGGCATTGTCTGGATCTTGCGTCCATTGATGCCCACAGTCCTGGGATTGATGCTACCTCTCATTTGTTCTATTTTGCATTGACTTCCAAGTGTATCAGATTGACAGTCAGGGATATCTGTTGGGCCTGACGATGCGGTCGCAATTCCAGTCTTTTGGATTGAATGATTTGGCTTATTGTGGCTGCCCAAAGCACCACCATTATCTTTACAGAGTTCAGTTTTGCATTCCCTTGATGCTTGCCTATAATATTTCTTTGAAGCAGTCTGAGTGGTATGGTATTGTTCAGATTCAGATGTGGGCTCCTGTGTTTTACGATTGCATGCTGTTTTATCTGGGTTGGATGATTTATAGCTACTAGAGTGCTCTTTGTACCATAAATCAGATTGTTTATCTGAAGCTGATACTTTGAATGCTGAAGATTTTCCTGCTTCCCTGCTTACAGATGTTAAGGCACTTGCAGGCATTAAGATCTGTGTTGGCTGCTCAAAGTTGTTAACCATTGGAGCAATAACAGGGATGTAACCCAGCTTTGAAGGCATATTGTTTTTCTGTGCATTTGCACTCTTCTCAAAGAACGAGAACCTCAGACTTCCACTTCCCGAGGAGCTGTCTTGATTCTCTTTGGAATGAGATTTGTAAATGATGGGAACTGTGCCGATTGGGTGAAGAATGGGAATCCTGCCTCCAACTTTACTTTTCTTACTTCGTGACCTCTCAGAGCCATCAATCACCCTTTGTGATGCAGATGACGCTTGCCCTCTTCGTGCTCGATTTGCGCTACCGCCCATACTTTGTTTCCTGGAGGAACTGCCATTCATATTATTCCGGAAGAACTTCCTACCAGAATCTCTTTTTGAATCTGTCACATTGTCCAGTAATAGCCAGGAGCCACTCTCATGCATCTGTAGCCCATAGTCACTATTGTTGCTGCCTTGGGCAAGCAGTGAGGTAGGTTTCATTTTCCTAGGCAGGCCAGCTTGAAGGTTATTTGAGTGCTGCGTAGAGTGGATAATGTTTGCCTTAGTTACAAGAGGTCCTTTGGCAGACAGTTTGGTAGACTCGGGCACTTGCATATAGTGACATTTAGTCATGCCTATGGAAGGCTTGCAGGAGACAGTACTGTGCTTATTAGGCTCTATTAAGTACAAATCCCTGTCATTCAGTGAGATTTTGACTTCTTGTTGGAAAAGTGAATCTAAGCTAAAAGCATCATCTGGGATAACATAGTGCGGTTGGGGCAAGGCGATAAATGAGGTGTGAACTTCTTTGTTCTTTAACTTGAGTTCACTGTCTTTATTGATCCTGCCAGAGGGATGTTTACTGCCTGATTTTGCCTGGAAATTTGGGACAGCATTAGTCTTAGGTCCACAAGCAACCACCTGAGAGATGTAATTGTCGTATTCATCGTTGATACTTGTGATAATACTGACTGGGCGGGAGTGGAAGGCTAAGGCCTGCCAGGAACAATCACTATGAAGACTCATAAAGCCAGAGGGATGTCCCTGCTCCACCATGCCTCTAAGGGGTACTTCCTCCACCAGAGTGAACACAAGCTCATCCTCACCGTTCAGCTCAACTGGCTGCTGTAGCGTTACCGTTGTCCTGAACGTGTCCCTGTCAAAGCACCTACTTACCTCCACAGGTCTGTGGCTCGCTTGATGACCTACATTCAGCATCAGGGAGCTTCTGGGCTCAGTCTTCTGAGATGGATGACTCATGCCTACTGGGGGAGGCCTTGTGGACTTTATGGGGCTTTTCTGTTTGGATGGAGTCTGGCGCTTTTTATTAGAATGGATCTTCTCACGCACCACTGGCTCAGGGTCATGTGACACTATCCTATGTTTAAACATAACAGACTGACTGTCAGAAGCCTGTAGCCTATCCTTGTCTGTATTAACTAGTCTAAAACCAAAAGGCAATCCTCTTTCAGCTCCATCACAGGTTAGTATCGGCCGTGCATGCTGTTCCATGAGGGGGAAGCCTCTGGCTGCTACAGAGTCTCCTGGTGGCTGGGAATTGCTCATCAATAAGGAAGCTTTATTGGCTCTAAGAGAAGGAGCCGCCACCCCGACAGGTTTAGTCGTCCTGCTCTCTGTCCCAGGGGCTACCTGGGAGGCGCTGTTCCCTCCACAGCCTGTGGGCCTGTCTCTTCCATCCATATAGTCAAGATGCTCCTGCAGCTCTGCAAAAGTGCTGCATTTGAAGCGGTCTCCTTCCACCAGTGGCAACTCTCTGACCTGCTTCCGGTTCAGAGAGGGGATGATGGGGACGAAGGCAGGGGGGCCCTCGTTTTCGCAAAGCTCCCGGTCTGAGATAACAGCTCCCCCGGGCCCCACATAGATCACAGTGTCATAGGCCTGCTGTCTGCTGGAGGTGTGGTTCCTGTCATACAGGGGCATACTGGCAAACTTTGCATCCAGGGTCACATTCGGCAGGTGAAAGGCTCTCATTTTGGCAGGGTGGAGGATTATACTCTCTTCATATGAGCCTTCCCCCGTCAAGGAGGAGTACTGCAGAAATACAGAAGTAATAAAACAAACAAACAAAAAACAATTAAATACAAGTATTTTTTACATATCTTGTCATCAGGATTTCATGTTTCAAGAACACTTACGTTTCAAAAACAATCCTGCCCCAGTCAATATCATTGAATCTAAAAAGTCCACACGTTAAGATATTCTCTATGTATATATATGTATTTGTGCTACCGAGTCTGGACTAAGGCTTACAGTAATGATTGTAGACTGTGTACACTGCTTTATTATCTGACTCAGCAATTCAGGGAAAAGTGGTGATCTATTGTTGAACAACACATAAGCACATTGTAAATTACAGCCAAAATAGAAGGAACTTATGTTCTAGGCTCAGATTTTTTTCTGTTTGACCAGCATAACATTGTGTTTAAGAAAGTGCTTTTATTATTTCTTAATGTTGTTTTGTTAGTTTGTCATTATGTTTATTAGTGCAGGTAGGATCTGCAAAACTAAGTTATTTTTGCTTATCTTTATCTAGGGAACCTTCATACCTTTGGACAGTTAGCTTAGCTGACTTGTGTTTTTTTGGTATTTTGTTTGTTGGACATGTGTATGTAATAAACCCTCCAGCTTTCCAAGTATAAGGCTGATTTTGAATGGTTGTGGCTAACTTGGAGGATCAGGTTTTGAAGCGTTACCATAACAATATGAATAGGCTTGTCCCTCATGGCGCCCTGACACACCTTAGGCTGTGTCCTGCCCACATGGTAGAGGCGGGAGGCCAGCTGTAGTGTGTACAGCGACTCGCTGTACTGCTCTGCATGGGTCGAGACGTGGGCGATCATGGTAGTATGGCAGTTAACGTTCCCCAGTGATTCCCTCAGCAGCATTGTCAGCTTACTGTCCCTGAATCACACATTAATACACCCTTTAAATAGAGAGGCAGAGCAGCTATTCTGTAATGGAGCTTTCACAAAAACAGCAATGTGCATAAGAGACTGACAGCTAACCTACCTGTACGGTACATGCTTGGCCCCGCTAACCAGGGCGAGAATGACATTTCCCACTGCAGCCAGCGACAGGCACTGACTATCTTGGCGCTGGTTCAGGACCATCTCTCCACTTCCCAGATCGATGATGTGCAGGCAGCTATGACCCCCTGACACTGATAAAAAGAACACTTAAAGAACTCCTAAAAATATTCATCCTTTACATCAGCTCCCCAGATTACAGCCTGGGGAAAACTGCGCAATCCTTCTACTATTCAACATAGTATATGATCATTGCACAACTTTTCCTGATTAGACAGAAGTAATAACTTCACACCCAAATAATGTTTTAGAAGTTCCAGTGTTTCCATCTGTTGGTATTACACACCTTTGGGTGTTCCACAAAGCAAGATTTCTCAGTTAGCTGTGCAAACCTAGGCTAGAAGTCATGATTGTCCAATAGGAATGCTCATTACCTAAACTTTTATTGGACAATCATGACTCCTAGTTTAAGTTAGTCCAGCTAACTGAGAAATCCTGCTTTGTGGCTCAGGCGTATGTGTCAGAAACAAAACAACAAAAGCTGGCTCATCATCTTTGTTAATGTGCTGCATACAATAACCTTCCTGCGAGTGGGTCACATGTAAAGTACATGTGGGTATACACTGCACATTATGCTATCTGAGGCAATGTGTGGCCACACGGTCAAAAGGTGGTACTATCTATTTTTGGTATATTTTTAGGTAAAATCTCAGGAATTTCAGGATCATTATCATAAAACAATGAGCATTATCCAAGCAATGCACAATTGTTTTGCATTAATTGTTTTGTAGGCAGCTGTGTCTAAAAAGTTATTTGAGACTGAAAAATTACAACATTCTCTAAAGCAAATGAATCTGTGGTTAGTCTTGTATGTTTCAAAATATTCAAATTGATTTTCTTTACTAGACAAGAATTTATTGGCTTATATGCAATTAAAAAAACCCAAGAGTAACATTAGAAGAGATAATCAAAGCAAATTGGGACATAAATTTAAATCAAAGGAGGATATAGGATGTCCAATCCTTCGGAATACCACTATAATGCATTGTGGGCATCTTTTTGAATGATGCACTTTACAATTGAATCCCACCACCAATGTCAATCTATACGAGAATGCATTACGCTTAGAAATCCTGGGGTCTGACAAATATAAGTTTGCATTAAACCTCTTGTGTTCATCCATGCGTGGCAGGAATAGGGACATTATGCAGTTAATGCCACCATTTTAATGATCCCATCACCCCTAATCTCTGCAAAGTACAAACCTTTTTTGCAATTTAGTCATAATTTTTGGAGGAATAACAGGGGAAAGTCAGTTTTTGCATTAAACACACTCTCTCTCTCTCTCTCTCTCTCTCACACACACACACGTTGGTGTACCTATCTAAATGGAGACTTTCCATTCACTTCTATGGGACAAGCCAGAATCCCAATCATAATACCCTTAAACCCCACCAGCCCTATCCTTAACCATAAGTAACCAAACAAAATACAAGACTTTTGGCATTCTTACTTTTTAGCTTACATTCACAAATTTTTATAAAATCCAAACGGGAACCCAGAAAAATATCCCCAAAAGTAAAGATGTTTCAGGTTTTACCATACTTTGGGGACATTTTGGTCCCAAAATGTGATCTATGCAAACCCACACACAAACACACACACACATCTGTCACACAGGGCCTCACTTATAGTCTTCCTGCCCTAAGCACATAAGTCGACACACAGTGGGTGGGGCAGCCTCACTTCCTGCCATGGTGGCCTGATCCAGGTGGTGCTGCTGGATGTACAGGGTGAACAGCAGGTGAGAGTTGTGGCGTTTGTCCCCGTTGCGTGCAGCCAGCGCCGAATCCAAGAAGAAAGCAGCTTGGTCAGCACTGGGGGCCTGCAGCTTGCTCTGGTTCAACAGCTGCATAAAATCATATTGAAAATGTACATTAAGTGCCCCTCAGGAATGGTCATGTCATCCAGGACCAATCAAAGAAGCAGTTTAATGCATAAGAACCACTGATGAGATAAGAGGCACAGAGATTGATGGATTTATTTAAATGTTAATACTGCTGATGAAAAGCAGGTGCTGCTAGTCCCAGGGGTCTGAGGAACATTCCATTAAATCAAGCAGTACCTGTGAGCCACAGACAGGGTCTTCCTTAAGATGGACCCCCTTAGAGGAGATGTCAGCCTGGCCCTCACAGACCATGTGAGATAGCAGGTCTGTGAGAATCTCCTCATCACCGCTGATCTCCACGGCAGACACGTGGACAGAGAAGTGCATGCCCAGTTTCTCCTGCCGCCTGGCAATGAGCGTGAACAGCCAGGAGATGCTGCATGGCATTATTCCCAGGCCCTGTGTGGAACTGTCCCCCCCCACCATGGTGTAGGATTTGCCTGAGGAGGGTCAACAGAAACATCTAGATGACTCCAGGTCTCCTTCTCAGCTAAACATAGCTGTCAGCTCAGTTAGATTTTCAAGTGCTTCAGGTAAGCAACAATCAGTCAAGGTCATACAGTACAGGACAAACTATTTTCGTAGGTCATAGCATTTTATTTTCTGATGCTGGACGATCACATAAAACAGGCAGTCCCCAGGTTATGAACGTCTTTAAGTCAGAAAAATAAAAATACAGTACATAATAGTAATAATTATACAGTAATATTAAAAGTACCTCAAGCAGACAAATCACTGAAGCTGTGTAATCACAAACCACTGCAGTTAAATCAAATTTTTAATGTAATAGACTTTATGGTAGTCCATTCCTAAGTATGAGTTCTTAATCTCGGGACTGCCTGCATAAGGGGGCGGATGGCAACTCTCCCCCCACAGGCCGGGGGCTAGTTACCTCTGATCTTTTTGTCCATCTATGGGATAAATGTTGGATGACCATTTGAATGGCAAGATTATACTGATTTTAGATAACAGGCAAATATAGTTCACAGTCACAGCAACATACATGTAAGAAGTACTTATGTATTGCTTGCAAGTTGTGTTCCAGCAATCCACATGTATTGCTTAGATATTGAAATACTGAATGTCTCACCTAGGTTAGAATGACCAAAGCAAAAGATACATCCATCAGCACCACTCAGCACAGCTTGTATAATGTCTGTCAGAGTCTCGGAGCAGAGATCAGCCTGTGAAGACAGACACCCATCAGAATTCAGTCTGTGAGCTCAGTCTGTGAGAAAAAAGACACATCTGATCTCTTGAGTATACTTGTCTCTCCCAAGCCACACACTGGATTGCAAAAAGCAGTGCTTATTCAGCCTAGGACATCAAGAGATGTCTCACTTAACCCTATCATGTTGAATTTCTGAAATGCTACAAATACTGCATAATAACCATCAGGACATCAGCCAAAAATGTCAAACAGTCTTGCTTACACACACACACGCATGTGCACACGCACACACACACACACACACACAACCAAACTTGTTAATTTTAATTGAATTTGAATTGTGGTTCAAAACAGGATACAGAACTGAAATTCACATTCAAACATAGGGACATAGAATTAAAATCAAACTGAATCCAATTAAGACACACACACACAAATATACATACATACATAGTTGATATTGAAGTTTGGGGTCAAAGTGCATGGTCAAGCTATTTATCTGGTCCCTCTGGTGCACTTTGTGTGACTTGGCTTAATGCAATTAGTTTCACCAGATTTGCACTTGTTCTTTTATCTGTCACCATTAAATTTGGTGTATGGCTAAGTAACACAATTAAATTCCACCATAATAAATTTCACCAAAAGATAATATTGTCATTATACTGCAGTATTATTATTACAAACCTACCTTTCATAATCTCCCCACCAGGATCAAGTGTCAAAACCAAGGGTGCAGGTAACTGGTACGCAAGTACCCGAATGCGTACTTATTTTATGTGCATTTGCACTGCTATGAAAACAAAATATAATGTATTTTAATCTTTATATGCCAACTCTGTCATGGATCCAGGCGGCACGGGCGCATGAACGTGGCATGGTGCAGGAACACAAAAGGTGGACGACCCACTGGCGGCTCCAAGAACACAAAAACAGGGTTTATTAAGTAAAACAGAAAACACTATGAACATACAACAATCAACAAACCACTAGGTAACAGAACAGAACAGATACAGGGACTTATATACAGAAACCAAAACTGGGTAATAAGACTGACACAGGACAGGTGAGACTAATTAACAGAGACCAGGAAAACAGGGCACAGGTGAAACTAATAAACTCAGGAGGAAAACAAGGAAACTAAGAGATGGTAGGCTTTGCTTTTGAGGGGGACTCAAACGTCGGAGTTCGGTCGATCCGGAAGCGGTGTTTTTTTGGCTCTGTCTGAATTAAACGGATTTGCATCCAAGACTGCGGTGGATTGAATACAAAGTTTTCTGATCCTGGAATTGGAAGTAGAAGTGAAAGTTGGTAGTGAGTCGATTGGGGAGTGGTGTGGGAGGCATCGGCCGACAGCCTGTATAGGTCCGGTAGCGGTGTTTCCCCGCAGCTTCTGCGTCGGCCACGTTATATCAACTTAAGCAAAATGGCAGGGACGAGAACGGATGGTATGGACTGTAGTGCGCAAGAGGGGACTGGTAGTGATGCGGGGAGAGAAAGTGATTGGGAAGAAGTAAGGAGAGGGCAGTCAGTATGGCAGGGTCCAAGTCGTAAGAGAAAGAAAAAAGGTGAGGCTAGTGCACCTGCAACGGAAAGTGACGGTAGGGATGGTGACGGAGAGTGTCTAGTGAAAAGATTGTTTAATGTAGTGGTACGATTTGAAGGAGAGGGAGGAGTTAAGAGGATGGACCCACTTAAGTTAACGAAAGTAATAAGAGGACAAGTAGGAGAAGTAACATATGCAAGAATTTTGGGAGATGGAAATTTACTTGTAGGTTGTAGTAGTGTGGAGCAGATGGAAAAGGCAATGAAGATGAGTAGTATGGGAAAAATTAAAATAGTTACAGTAGTAAGAGTGGGGGAAAGAAGCATGGGTGGCAGTAAGGGGGTAATATATGGAATTCCTCTTACTGTAAATATAAAAGGGCTAATTGAGGACTTGAAGGTGCAGAATAAGTCAGTGAAAAGCGCTGTAAGATTGACAAGGGGAGTTGACAAAGTTGACACAGAATCGGTTTTGGTTGTGTTTGAGTCAAAGGAAGTGCCGAAAGAGGTATATTATGGATTTCTGAGATATAGTGTGAGGGAATACTGTATACGCCTAAGCCAATGAGATGCTATAACTGCCAAGAATTTGGACATGTGGCTAAGGTTTGCAAAGGACAAAGAAGATGTGCCAGGTGCAGTGGAGACCACGAGTATGGGAAATGTGGGGCAGAAGTGCAGCCAAAGTGTTGTAGCTGTGGAGGGAATCACAGTGTTGCATTTTGGGGATGTGAAATGATGAAAAAGCAAGTGAAAATACAGCAAGTGAGAGTAAAGGAAAACCTTTCTTATTCTGAGGCTGTTGAACGGACGGGGATGGAAAATAAGAGGGGTGAAAGGGATGGTATGGAGGGAGCGACAAGAGAAGTCCGACAAGA